ACACACACACACACACACACATACACACACACACACAAAAATGCAAAATACTGTAATATAATTTTTGTAAAAGAAAGAATTTCTTGATGCTGAAAGGCAGCTCCTCCTCCAATCATCTTCCATGAATCCTTAGGCAGTGAACCAATGAACTGCTTTTTAAAGGTAAGAAATAGAGGGATGTCAGCCCAGCGGTTAGGAACACGTGCTACTCTTACAGAACACCCAACTTGGACACCTGTCTGTAACTCTAGTTCCGAGGATTCCAACACCCTCTTCTGGCTGTGAGGGGAACCTGCACACATGGAGAACACTTACATACATTAAGGAATGTACACACACACACATACACACACATACACACACACACACACACACACACACACACACACGGAATAATAAATAAAATCTACTCTCAAAATTGAGAATTAAGGAGTGCTCTTCAAGATGAATATCCACATCAAAATGATTCCTTAGTAGAGAAAAGCTGATTGGCACTTGGAGCAACAAACATAAAATCATACTCAGGACCCACGTCAGTGCCATACCCAGAAATTCTGTGAGAAGCCCATTTCACCTCAGAATTGGGTAGCCTGAGCAGGGGGATGATTAGTAGCAAGCCCTTACCCGGGCCTGAGTTCAGATCCCAGCACCCATGTAAATGCTGGACAGGGTGGCTCATGCTGGTGCTGCAGAGGCAGGGACCAGCTTACTGGCCAGCTAGTCTGGCCCAATCAATAGCCTTAGGCTCACCTTGTATCTCAAAACATAAGATGGAAAGCACCCTGCCTCGATCCTCTGGCCTCCACAAGCAATGCACCCACACACTCACTCACTCACAAAGGGTCATTCCTCCTGGTGCTGCCTGCACGCTGCCTTCTAGAAGCCTACATCACCAGCCTTGCAAGACACACAGGTGTCGGCATGAACGGTGGAGGCTCTGACTCCCTCGGAGATCTGAATGCAATGTGCTCAGGGGGAGCTCAGGCACCTGTACTGCGAAAGGAGAAAAGAAAATCCAAGCCTAACCTCGAGAGACAAGTTGCTGGTCTACTACACAGAGACCAAGTGAAGCCTCCACCATGAAGGTCAGGCACCGTGATCCAATTGTAAGCTCTAGGTGGTCCTCCACTACATAGCCCCACTTAAAAGTCACTTTGGTGGATCTGAAGGTAGAATTCTTACAAAGCACATGTGAAGGCCTGGGTTTGACCCCTGCATCGCGTGAACTCGGTGTGAGTGAGGTGGGACTGTAATCCCAGTGCTAGGGAGGTGGAGGCAGAATTGGGAATTCAAGATCATCCTTAGATGGGATTTGAGACTAGATGGAGCTACATGAAACCCTGTCTTAAAAAGTCAACATCTCCCTTTCCTTCCCACCTTGGGCTTCTAGCAATGTGGACTGACAAGCCTTAGGTCATCACCTTATGAAGATGCTGAACCTTACAGCAGGTGACTTACTACCTATCACCTGCTTGCAGAGGGATTCACAAATATGCTTAAAGGAATACCAGGTAGAAGCCGTAAGGGAATTGCCCTGCTGTCTTGGGGCTCCCCCAGGCCCCTGAACACAGTTAAGAACTTTAGAACTAACCCATTTCAATGCTTACTGTACAGGAGAAACAAATATACATTTTCCTAGGCTAGTGACAGTGAGAAAAAGCTATGATCACACACCAATGACCTAGCTCTGAGACCACTACTCTCTGTCTCGAGGCGGGATGGATCTAGGCTCTTCAGCTCCATACTAGTTGCCAGAATAGAGATCTGCCCATCTCTGTACGCCCCAGTCCCTGCATCATGTCTGGTCTACCATTGACTATAAGGTTTTTTGTTTTGTTTTTATGCATATGTATGGGTGTTTCACCTACCTGTATGTATGTGCACCACATGCATGCAATACCCATGGAGGTCAGAAGAGGGGACCAGATCCCCCAGAACTGGAGTTACAGGTTATGAGCTACCACTTAAGTGCTGGGAACTGAACCTGGATCCTTTGGAAGAGTATTCTGAATCACTGGGGCATGCCCCAATCCCTTGTAATAAGTATTTTTTAATTTTACTAAATGAACGAATGAACTGTCTTTGCTAGGCTACAGAAGTTTGATTTAGAGGGATTATTTTCTGAAAATTGCTTTTTAGAAAGAAGAAATTGGTTCTGGAAATGTTCCCAAGGCTACTTGTCATTTTAGAAGTGTTGATGATCTCAAAATAAATGTGTTTTGTGATGGTTCCTTAGCTAGACACAGAAATGTGTGTGTGTGTGTGTGTGTGTGTGTGTGTGTGTGTGTGTGTAGTTTTCACAAGTGCATAGACCTTTCCTACAGTTAGTTCAACTCGAAGACAATACTGAGTTAAACACAAACAGCAGCCTTCATGTGTGCGAAGGCTGTTGTGTGAAATGAGTTTAGCATCCAACTGTAACCACCAGCCTGAGGTCAAGAGGCAGAACATCTGTTCCCATTTCCCAGACAGAGTGAGGACATGAGGACATTTGGGTGAGAAGTAGTCATTTTCCTCTGCAAGCACAGACACACTCCCAGGAGCCGGCCAAGAGGGGAACACAGCCTGCTGCTCAGCAGAGGCTGGGGTTGGTTCCTGTCCTAAGTTCTATGACCCACTGTTTTCTCTCCCTCCTCACCCTCCAAGGAAAGCCACGCAAGGATTGTGATAGACAGCGTTACAGCATGGCTAGGACAGACAAGAGGACTGAAGAGGCCCAAGGGAGAGGACTCTTTTATTTCTTCTTATTGTATACGTGTGTGAGTGGGTCTCCTGGAGCTGGAATTACAGGCAGCTGTGAGCTGTGAGCTGCCAGACATAGATGCTGGGAATCCAATCCGGGTCCTCTGGAAGCAGAGCCTTGTCCCTGGCTCGCTCACTCCCACCCCCTTTTACCTAGTGGTGGATACCCCAATGGAAGGAGCACACTGAGACTAAAACCAGCTTGGGCAAGTCATAAAATCTAACTCTTATTAAGGACTTGTGTATTTTGCAAGAGGCAGTAGACAAATCACTCATTCCTACTCTGATCTTTACCCACAGCCACACAGGAATGCTGTGACTTCTCAGGAACATTTAGTCACCAGGACAACTTCTGGAGCTATGATGCAGGTGGTGGTTAAGTCCTTGACATCTCCCATAAATAATGACACTGCCTTTTCTGAATGATGTCCCTGTTTGTGCTTGTGGTGGTTTGTGGTGCTGGGTGGGTGGGAACAGGGAGAGGAGTGGGCAGGGAGGAAGACATCTCCTGAGCACAGGTTGGCAGTGCCAGCCACCTCTCTAGCATCACTTCACGTATATGTTTATGAGAAGTCCCAGTTTGGAATCCCCCAAATTCCAGCATAAATTTTCTTTCCTTACATTTCCAAGTGCAAACAGCAGGAGTAGAAATATGTCCGGTGTGTCTGGCTGAATCATATGCCCAGGGCCAGAGGAGACAGCCTGGCAGAGGCGCCCAGGGCCAACTCACCCTTGACAGAGCATAAGGCTCGCCTTGTACCAAACTGGTACACAGGGCTACATTCAGCCTCATCTGAATCATCTCTTCCCCTTTCAGCAAAATAAAGCACGTGTGGTGGCCACCACTAAGCAACAAGCTCCTTTAAAAGCGGTCACTGAAGCTGAGACTGGGAGCTTGTACCGAGAAGTATCATTTAATTCTTTGTGTGTGTGTGTGTGTGTGTGTGTGTGTTTAAGTGTGTGGGGGTGGGTGGGGTGGGTGGCTGAGTGTGTGCATGTGTATGTATGAGCATGTGCATGCATGTGGGTGTGTGCATACATGCAGAAACCAGAGGACAACAGCGAGTCTCTTCCTCTATTGCTCTCTGCCTTATTTTTGAGTCAGGGTCAATCTGCCTGTCTCCACCTCCTAATGCTGGTGTTGGAAACATGAATGGCCAGCCACACCCTGACTTCATTTCACATTTTCAGTGTCTATAAACAATTGGAAAACATAAACAGGTCTAAAAATGTGCTCCTACATCTCACAATCAATATCCTAATGGTCAATGCAGGCCGACTTTGTCCCTTGCTTTGGGTCATTTAGCTCAACACCATATAAACTGTCAACACTTCACTGAATTCGCATCAAAGACAGACACTGAAGCATTCAGGATGCTAGACACAGCCCTGAATTTCAAGCCACATATATTGGCACATACTTATAATTACAGCATTCCACAGCTTGAGGCAGGAGGATTCCTCTAAGTTTGAAGTTGGTAGAGACTATAGAATGTGGTCCTACTTCAAAACAACAACAAAAGCCAGGTGTGGTGATATTTTATTTGTGCTTTAATAAATAAAGCTTGCCTGGAGATCAGGGGGGAAAGGCCAGCCATTTTAAGTAAACAAAGTCAGGCAGCACATGTCCTTAATCCTATCACTTGGCAGGCAGGGTCTCTGTGTGTTCAAGGCCACACTAGGGAACAGAGTCAAGTGTGGTAACACACTCCTTTAATCCCAGTACCAACCACAGAGACCTGGAGGTCTGTACAGACAGACAATGACAAGAAAGTGAGGTAGCTGGGCTAAGAGCCAATGAGAGGGCAGAAAAGCAAGGCATAAAAAGGCGTGGATAGACAGGAAGTAGCTTGCATTTGGAAGCTGCAGAGTTGATGAGGTACGGTTGGCTGGTGGCTATTCCTATTTCCCTGATCTCTAAGGCTTTCACCCCTATATTTGGCTCTGTGTTTTTTATTTAATAAAACCATTTAGAAATTCGTCTACAGCCAGGTGTGCTATAATCCCCCACACTCAAGAAGAGAATGGAGGATCAGAAGTTCAAAGCCAGCCTTGGCTGCTTAGTGAGTTCAAGGTTATCCTGGGCTGTATACACAGGACCTTGTCTTAAGAAAAATAAAAGAACAGAATGTCTGTGATTTACATGTAGTGGCCAAGAGTCAACAAACACAGATCTACTGGCAACCTCAGGATATACCCTGGGTTATATTTAAAAGTGCAGCTTATTTTGTGTGGGAATATTCGGATACATGCATGCCGGGGCATTCAGGTGGAGGTGCAAGGGCAACTGTTGGGATGGGTTCTCTCTTTCCACCTTGTGGGTGGCGAGTGTTGAACTCAGGTCATCAGGCTTGGCGGCAAGCACTCCCAACCTCTGGGCCTCCTCGCAGCCCAAGAGTCTAGGTCAATCAAATGGAAGTGTAAAGAAAACCTGCAGGGCTTCTGAGGTGTTACCAAAATGTGTAGAAAGGACACCAATTCTGAAGAGAACTCTAATGAGAGAGAGTTATGGAGTGGTGGTGGAGCCCTGGCAACAGGAAGAAGGGTCCTGGCTTATGTCTTCAGCACCACAAGGTCAAACAGAAGTCAAAGGGCCGAGGTCAAGCCTTGTGGAGCATGCCTGGAACCTCACCATGCAGGAGGCTCAGACAAGATGGCAACCTCAAGGTCAGTGTCGGGTGCAACTACAGAGAGCCTCAAAATAAACAGTAAAATGGGGGCCACAAGTGTAGTTCTAGAGAAAGCTTGCCTAGCACGTAGGAGTTCAATTCCAAGTTCTGAAAAGAAAGGAGGATGCACTAATCCCCCATAGTCAACAGACAGTTTACTAGCACATACTACGTGGTACAGAGTGAACTACTACTGAACTAACCAAGACTCATCACTGAAGACTGTTGTGATACTAGGAGACAGCAAAGGGGAGGAAAAAATGTTTTTTTTAAAAAAATTCATTTATTTTATGTACATGGGTATTTTGTCTGCATGTCTTTACATTGCACATGTGCAGTGCCTAGAGGGCAGAAGACTGCATTGGATCTCTGGAAACTAGAGTAACAGACAGCTGTGATCCACCATGTGGTTGCTCAGAACCCAGGTCCTCTGCAAGAGCAGCCACTGCTCCAGTCTGCTGAGCCATCTCTCCAGCAGCTGAGTTTTAAGTCACAGACTCAAACTGAACAGCAGCAACAAGACTACAGAACCCTGTGTGCTGCAGGCTCCACAGCAGCCCCTGCACCCCTGCCACCAACTCACGTCACCAGAAGAGCGATTACCTCCATCTTCATTTATCCAGTAGAGGAACAGATTCATCGTGCCCACTTCAGTTATCTGGTCATCCTTGCCATACAGCCAGAGGACCTGCTGACAGCCATTCTCTGCTGCCTCGCACTGTGCCAAAAGGGATGCACCGTAATTGCTAGTGAGGAAAAGAAAACCTGCTGATTTACATACGTGTCGCCCCATGCCTGCAATCCACCCTGATGATCTCGTTATTATTCATTCATCTGATGGTGTGTGTGTATGTGTGTGTGTGTGTGTGTGTGTGTGTGTGTGTGTGTGTGTGTATGCACCCATGTGCATGTATGGAGCTAGAGAACAAATCATCAGTTGACCTTCTAACTAAGTGAGCTGCTGTGCCCACCTTCAAGGCTTAATCAGACACATACACCCACATATAGACACAGACACACACATCCATACACCCACACATAGACACACTCACACATCCATACAACGACATATAGATACACATACACACACACATCCATAAACCCAAACATAGACACACACACATATACTCACACATATACCCATACATCCACACACACACACACACACACACACATACACTCACACATAAACACACACATACACCGGTACACCAACACATAAACACACACACACAGAGACACACATGCAAACACTCATGCATGTATGACATTATCACTTTAATACATAACTCTATCTCCAAAACATTAAAGAAAGCCCACCAGAGACTCTAAGAGCAAAGAAATCTATGTTCACAGACCTGCCCAGCACCATCACAACTGAGCAGAACCATATGCATGCCCCAGGTGCCAAGGAGAAAACACGGGGCTCCTGATGCATTCTGGGAAGAGGAAGCTAGAGCCATAGAAGAACAAAGTAGGGCTAGAGGTGTTGATATTTCCCAAAATCAGTTTCTCAAGAAGGCCAGTATGCTGATTTACAAAGTTTGGCTTTGATGATCACACCTTGGCCCTGTGTCTTCTAGCAGCTTTGAATGCTTGGGATAAGGTTAAAGAATCAGGAAAGAGGACTGAGTCATTTACTAAAATTATACAAGGCCCAAAAGAAGGCTTCACTGGAATTTTGCAAAGATTGAGTTCAGCTGTAAATAAAATGTTATCAGATCCAGAAGTTACACAAATATTAATTGAATTTGGGGCTTTTGAAAATTCTAATTCTGAATACAAAAGGGTGATTAGGCCTTTAAAGATGAGATCAGCACTAATAGATGAGTGGATTAAAAATACAGCTGATACTGGATCTCATGCTTATGATGCTGCATTAATAGAAGTAATTTCTAGAAATTTTAAGAAAAATCAAAAGGTCAGGTGTTTTTATTATAGTAAACAAAGCCATCTAAGGGACTGTACGCAAAGTTTTCCTAGAAACAATGTTGTTTCTAAAGATAATCTAAACAGAGGTCATAGCCTTTCTAGAATACGCAGAAGGTGTGGCAAAGGCCAACATTGGACTAATGAATGCAGATCAACATGGGACAGGCAAGGTAACCCTTTGCCACCTGAAAATGCCTCAAGGGGTCTCTCACTATCAAATTTGGTTCAATTGTTCCCTGTCAGCACCGGAGAAACTCCTCCACAGAGCAATTAAAAGACTTAATGCCTGTTGTTAAAAACCACACTACTCTGGATGACAGAACAGCTTCACTGTATTAAAAAAAAATTCATGAGAGACCATAAAAACAAGAATTTTGGCAAACTTCTATAAATGATCAAAGACCAAAGCACATGTACTAAAAATACAAATAAATGCACTGTAATCAAAGGTTCAGTTGACACAGGCACAGATGTAGCCATAATTGCACTAAAATCGTGGCATCCAGATTGGCCTCTTCAGGAGGTAAATATTCAGATTCTAGGGATTGGAACCTTATCTTAGATAAAACAGAGTAGAAGATGGGTTGAGTGTACAGGGCCAGAAGGACAGAGAGGAAAATTAAAGCCACAGGTGGCTAATACAGCAATGAATTTATGGGCAGATGATTTGTTACAGCAATGGAAAACACAGATTAGCATTCCTTCAACCTCATAAACAAACCATAAAATAAAGAATGCTTCTGAGAGAGATATTAAAAGTATTATCAAGAACAGTCACCAACCCTTCAGGTTGTACATATAAACATGGCACAACAGCTGTTGATCTTTCAAAGGCACCATTAACTGATAACTGGCAAGCCTGCCTGGGTGGATTTAAAAGACTGCTTTTTCACTGTACCTTGATAAGAACAGGATAGAGAAAAGTTGCCTTTATGGTGCCTTCTTATAAAAATTCTCTACCTCTTAGAAGACAGAAGATACCAATGGAGGGTCTTGTAGAACTGCTAATAGAAATCATAAAGTTTCCTCAATCTATATTTTACCACTGAAAGGATAATACTTACTAGCTGAGTCAGATGTAGATACCTTAGAAAAAATATTTAATGAAAGTAAAGAGAATTTGTTGAGGATTACAAATTGCTATTGAAAAAAATACAGAGAGAAGATTCTATTAATTACCTAGGATATAAGATAGTTTTATAAAAAATTCAACCACAGAAAGAATAAATCAGGAGAGATTAATTATGAACTCTTAATGATTTTCAAAAATTGCTGGGAGATATTAACTGGCTATGGTCCACAATCGGATTAATGACTCAAGAACTAAGTAATTTGTTTCAAGCCTTCAAGGAGATAAGGACTGAAATAGTCCAAGAAAACTATCAGCTGAGGGTGAGAGAGAATTGGCTTTGATAGAAAAGAAATTACAGGAAGGACATGTGGATTATTAGGATCCAGAGATTGATTGTATTCTGGTTATTTTACCTTCTACACATTCTCCTACAGGAACTCTTATACAGAAAGAAGATAATATTTTAGAATGGATATTTTTGTCACATAAAGTAAAAAATGAAAGACCTATATAGAAAAGTTTTCTGAATTGATTCTGAAAGGAAAATTGAGACTCAGTCAATTAACATGAATAGATCCAGCAGAAATTGGAGTGCCTTTCACTAATGCTGAAATTTCCTCATTATGGACAGAAAATGAACATTGGCAGAGCTTGCAGCAATTTTGGGGGGGGGGAGGATTAACAAAAAATACCCCCCAAAGCAAGAGACTTCAGTTTATAAAAAGAACTAATTGGATCCTTGCTCACATGTTATGAGGAGCACCAATTTCTGGAGCCCCTACAATCTATACTGAATCAAATAAATCAGGAAAGGCAGATTATAAGTCAGGAAAAATAAGTAATGTGGCTCAAGGCCCTTATGATTCAGTTCAGAAATCAGAGTTGTATGCTATTCTCATGGTATTATTAGACTGTTCAGGGCCTCAATATAGTTACTGACTTCAATATGCAGAAAGAGTTGTTTTACATATTGAAACTGCTGAACTTATTCTAGATAATTCAGAATTAACTTTGTTATTTATAAAATTATAACAAGTAATCAGAAGTAGAAATCATCCATTGTATATAACATATCAGATCCCATATGGGCCTATAGAGCCCTTTAACACAAGGTAATGATGAAATTGATCAGCTATTGGTAGGAAATGTGCTAGAAGCCTCAGAATTTCATTAGAAACACCATATTAATAGCAAAGGTTTAATGAAAGATTTTTCTATCATTTGGAAACAAACCAAATTATAAGGAACTGTCCTACTTGTTCTTTGTATAACCAAACTCCACTACCTACAGGAAGTAATCCAAGGGGTACTCAAAGAAATGAAATTTGGCAAATGGATATGTTTCATTTTGTGGAGTCTGGAAAAGTATGTGCACCATACTATAGATATATATTCAGAATTTCAATGGGCAACTGCTTTGAGTTCTGAAAAGGCTGATTCTGTAATCACGCATTTATTAGAAGTTATGGACATCATGAGAATACCTGTACAAAGTAAGACTGACAATGCTCCAGCATATGTGTCTAGGAAAATGAAACAGGTGTTTGCTTATTACAATATAAAGCATATTACAGAAATACCACACAATCCTATAGGACAAGCAGGTGTAGAAAGATCTAATTGCATTTTAAAAGATAAATAATAATAAAATCATAAATATTAATAAAATAGTGCTTAATAAACAGAAAGGGGTAAAGACCCCCAGAGATAGATTACACAATGCTTTATTAACTTTAAATTTTTTAAATGCTAATAAGAAAGGAACAACAGCTGCAGAGACATTGAATAATAGAAAAAACTACAGAATTAAATCAGCCTGTATACTTTAAAGATGCGCTCACCTCAGAATGGAAACCAGGATATGTGTTACATTGGGGAAGAGGTTTTGCTTTTATTTCCACAGGAGAAGAAAAGCTATGGATACCATCAAAATTGATAGAAATTAGATATGAAAAGGAGAGACCTCTTGATTAGGGGAGGTGATACTTCATCAACCAGTGTGACCATTCAATCTAAACTAGCTTATAAGACTAACAAATGCCTTTCATTTGATCAGATATAGCCTACCAAAAGGGAAACTCTCCAAAGTTAGGGTTGGAGCAGGGTTTTGGTTTTGTCTTTTCAGGAGAATGAAGGCACACAACTAAGGAATCTGAAGACTTGTAGACAAACGAGACTCAGAAGACAATGTCCCAAGAGAAAGAATAAATTGGCCTAATGGTATGAAACATGTCCAACAGGATAGAATTTCATAAATCTTCTCAAATGTTTGTTTCTGCTGTTTCCTCTCTATATATTAAGCAAATAGTCTTTTTGTTGTCCCAGGTCAGTAAAAAATTAAAGGTAGCTTTGGAGTTGGAATGTGGCTCTCTCCTTCTTTAAACCTAAGCATATGTTAAATGTTAAATGAAAATTAAAAATCTGTTTCATGTCAGAAGAGCCACCTGGTATGGGACAAAAAAAAATTAAGGGACTATTCTATTGTCATTAATCACATAATCCTTTGGTTGACCCTTTAAAATGTTTCTTAAGGTATAAATATTATCTCAAAATATAAAAGATTGTTTTATAGCCAGGTGGTGGTGGTGCATGCCTTTAATGGAGGCAGGCAGATGGATCTCTGTAAGTTTGAGGCCAGCCTGGGCTACAAAGTGAGTTCCAGGAAAGGCTCCAAAGCTAAACAGAGAAACCCTGTCTCAAAAAAAATTAAAAAAGATTGTTTTGTATATATATTTAAACTTT